TTAAAAATAAAAAGAAGTTTTTTTTAAAAAAAACTTATCTAATTAATGAAGAAACTCTTCTTTATATATTCTTTTCAATAATAGATTGCCTTCAGAACAAGGTAACATCGGCGATCACGAAGTTAGTCCCACTGAAAATAATCTACAAGAAAAGTCGCGACAAAAAAAAAAGCTAAGAGGTGCGAAAAGGAACATGCGATATAACGATATGCGTTCTCAAAACTCTGATTCTACAGCTCACCAATCAAGGCCATTTCAACATAACGAAACGAACATCGTCTTCCACAGCGCGAGACGACATCGGAACGTAAGAGAGGAGTCTTATATCGCTATATCGTTATCTTATATCCTTGCGTGTCTTATATCGCTATATCGTTTTGCGCTCGTTGTCTTTACTCGACGGCTTAAATCAGATTTCTGATGCATCGCCTTGAATGAAACTCGCTGTATCGTCTTGCCGATATATGCGTTAAATCGATATCTCTCGATACATCGATTTATAGCCCAGTCCTAATGGTAACCATAAAGATTTGCATAGCAGTTATACACTGAAGAGCCAAAAAAACTGGTGCACCTGCCTAATATCGTGTAGGGCCCCCGTGAGCACGCAGAAGTGCCGCAACACGACGTGGCATGGATTTGATCAATGTGTGAAGTAGTGCTGGAGATAATTGACACCATGAATCCTGCAGGGCTGTCCATAAACCAGTGGGAGTAAGAGGGGAGTGGGGATATCTTCTGAACATCACGTTGCAAGGCATCCCAAATATGTTCAATAATGTTCATGTCTGCGGATTTTGGTGGATTTCCGATACTCACGGTATACTCGTGAAATGGTCGTACGTGAAAATCCAAATTTCATTGCTATCTCGGAGATGCTATGTCCCATCTCCCGTGCGCCGGCGCCGACTATAACACCACGTTCAAACTAACTTAAATCTGCATAACCTGGCATTGTAGCAGCAGTAACTGATATAAGAACTGTGCTAGACACTCGTTGTCTTATATACACGTTGCCGATCGCAGCGCTGTACTTTGATTGGCTCCATACCCCTTTACCCTTTATTTGCATACTCATGCCTGTACCAGTTTTTTTGGCTCTTCAGTGTATGACAAGACATCATAAACCTATGGTAACCATAGATATCTGCATTGCTTCCACTAGCATTAACCATCTTTTTTTATGAAATATATTTTTTTAATAAAGTTTTAAAGTTGCTTTTAGAATATTAATGAAAATGATTTACTCGCCTTATTTTGGTTGACTTACAATGATCGATATCAAAAATTTCTCCATTTTCATTCTTTCCCTCAAAATTTTTCGTAATTCAAAAAAAAAGCGTATAAAAAAGTGTCTAA